CACCAAAAGAGTGGTCAGACATTGGAACAGGCTGCCCAGGGCAGCAGTAGAATCATCAGCCCTGGAAACGTTCAAAAATATGTCATGGAACATATCTGGGACCATGCTTTAGGGGTGGCTTTGGCAGTGCTGCCTTAATGGCTGGATTTGTTGATCTTAAGAGGGTTTTCCCAACCTGTATTATTCCATGTGAGATAAAAATGCACCAATTTCTTTCACAAAATTACCCTTCAACAATAACAGGTCCTGTTGCTCTCTGCAGAAAATGTTTTGTGGAATAAGGCTGCAAAGTGAAGCCACTTACACTTGCTAGGTAACCTACAAGTGATGTCATTCTGAATTTATCATTTATTCCAAACATTTCGGTAATCCATATATTATCACCTACACTTCTGTTTCCTAGACAATGTCCAGTTAGAAAACAGTTGAGCAAGAAACAGCAGGATAGGGAACACAGATGCAGATCTATGTTTATATACACATAGACTCCATTTCTTTTGGAAGAATTATTGTTTATTTTTGTGAAAGCAAAGTAGCACTGGCTCTAAGTGCTACAGAGATGAAAGGAAGTGAGCAGTCAGGCAGATGGGGCCAGAAGTTCAGCCTCTGTGTGCTGATTATCTGCTAAGTTGGAACAGGAAAACTTCACAAATAAATGTGGAATTAAAATCTAACAGCAAAGAATGAAGCTGCACAAATGCACAAGACACGATGCCTTTGCATTCAGATAGAATCATATTTAATACAATTAAAGTAATTACTTCAGTCTAGTCAGCCCTGGTTAAGTCTCCGTTGGAGTTAATTAGCAAATGATAGTAAAATACTTTGAACTTTAAATGTTAAATACTTTCATTATTAATATTATTCTTGCAACTGCTGCAAGAGCAGCCAGGTCCTGGCTCCTTGGAATGCTGCAAAAATGGTGACATGGAGAATAAGAGCAGTATTCTTGCCTGGTTGATTTAAACACATTTTTCTGTTGTGCTAACCAAGCATCTGCCTCACAAAAGACCCACAAAAGAGCTCAAGTCCTGCTCTCACAGGATCCCAGCCTGGCTTGGGCTGCTCTTGTGTCTCCCAGCACTGCCATGCAAAGTGCTGAATCCTGGCTTGGTAGCACAGCTTCAGACAAATACCCCCAAAAAAGGTGAGGAAATAATGACTGAAGGCACCAGGAGGACAAGAAGACAATTAAGAAAGGTTAAAAGGACTGGGTCACATTTAGTCCTGCAGAATAAAGATTTAACTGCATAATTACTATATAAGAGAGGTTATAAGAGAGCAACAACTGATTATTCTCCCTATTCAAAACTGGAAAACAAATAATGAGTTGAAGCCACAGAAAGGAAAATGAAGGCTTGAGAACCTCTACAATACAAAGAATGGAACAAGCAGCCCAAAAGCTGCAGAATACTCATCACTGAGGGTATTCAGGCTTAAGTAAACACCCATCTGTTAAAGCATATTTTGTTATAATCACTCCTGCTATTGTGCAAGGAGGTGGAACCAAAGTCCCACTGAAGTCTGGGGGCTGGATACCTACGATTCATGTGTTCCACGTTTTTGAAACATTTATTCAGAACAACAAACATCTGGTTCTTAATCCCCCAATTAACACTGTTTCCAGCCCTAAGGAATTAATCACAGAATTCATAGGAAACAGTTTATTTGCTGGCAACGGAGTAAAACAAATTGCCTACAAACTTCTACATTGCTAATGGAGCAGTTTAATTGCCTTTTTTTTTTTTTCTTTTTGACACTTTAATTAAAAAAATAAAGACCAGAAAGACATCCCTGGGCAGAGACCTTTGCAGCACAGAATTACACAGCTCTGGGGACTCGGGCTCTCATTCATGGTACTGACCTCCTTTGAAGAGCACTCTGAGATCTAGCAGTGAAAAGGACTTTAAAAAGTGCTGGACAGCATCATTAGTATTCAGGAGGACACAGTTCTGTGGCTTGGTTGAATTCAAAGGGATCTGCTAGTACTTAGGAAAGCCAGAACGTTTTCCAGAGGAAAAGGCTGAGCAGCTGGGGGCTGGCCATGCTTCCAGCACTGCAGGCTGAACCAACCTAATTCCTGCTTGCTTTTTGTTTTTACCATTTCCACAGTGTAGAATTTTAACCTCTTTCCAGCTATAAAAACTAGGCAGTGTTTAAAATACGGCCCCAGCAAAGAAAATCTGCATTACCAGAGCCCTGCTGGCACTCCTGCCACCTCTCTGTGCTCTGTCGTGCCTCTGGATGCTTATTCCATGAACACCTCTTTGTCACACCTCTTACACCCTGCAGCTCAGTGGATTTACACCCTGCTCCTCTCAGCTGCTGTGGAGAAATTCCATGGAATGGAAAGTCAACCATCACACGTTCTAGGACTGCAGCTTTAGAGATGTCCCAGCTTGCAGCAGTGGAACATGCTGCTCTTCAGTTTATCCACCTGGCTTTGCCACTACATGCATATGAAGTAAACAACTTTTATTCCCACCAAACAGATTTTCAAAGAGTAACCAACACAAACATCACAATTCTAGCCAGCAACAGGCTCTCAATAATAGCTCCAAAAATCTCTGCCAGCTTCCAGGAGTCTGACTGAACACTGCAATTTACTGCAAGGTTAGCACAGCTTGGACAGCTCTTGAAGATTTGGGGTTTGTGACACCAGGCCCTTCTGTACCCATTTGCTGTGGTTGATCATCTTCCACCTACTGATTTTGCCCTTTGTTCTCTGTGAACAGTCCTGTGACATCAATCAGCCACATCAGGAACTGACTCATTTCCCCTCGTGCTCCTTAAAACCTTTTTACTTAGTATCAGCACATTCCCACTTGAGGGCTGCTTTATCTTTGCCTCTTCAATGAAGTTTTCTGCATTTTTTTGTTTGAGGTCTAACCTTTATTAATTTGTAGCTGCTGGAATATCTCTAGATTTTTTTTTTCTTAAACCAGGTATCAAGGAAAGGGAGAGCCCACAAGTATTTGGAGTAATTACAGTGTGATTTTTGGGGTTAGCATGGGGGTTTTTGTGTATATGGGAGTGATTTGTTGGGGATTTTTTTTTAGGTTGATTTGTTGCTTTGGGGTTTTTTAATCATGCCATTTCAGGCTGTTGCTTGTCTATTGTTGTTTAGATTGGATATTAGGAAAAATTTCTTTGTTGAAAGGGTTGTCAAGCACTGGAATGGCTGCCCAGGGAAGTGGTGGAGTCACCATCCCTGGAAGCATTCATAAAACAAGGAGATGTGGCACGTGTGGTCATAAAACACAGACGTGGGAGCACAATTTGGGGATGGGACAATGGTTGGAGCCAATAACCACGGAGGTCTTTTCCAGCTCTGTGATTTCTGCTGACCTCTCCATGGTTCCAGGGTACTTCCATGACAATAAACCTTCATAAGGAGGCCAGGAAGGGTTCACTTTAACATTTAGATTAACAAAGCATTGAACTCGTCCAGTGCAAGCCACAGAAACCTTCCCATTTGTTCCAGATTCTCAATTGCATCCAAACTGTGTAAATTCCTACCCCTTCCCTCTGGGATCAGTTCATTCAAGGATTTGCCATGTCTCTCCAGCTTGGTCTGTACCAAGGACACAAAATAAGGACACAACAAAGAACAAAAAGCTGAGGAGCCCCAGAGATAAAACTGCCATCATTTAAACCACAACAGCATCCAGAATCACAAAATACACTCTCTTACAGACAGCACCAAAAATCTGCCACTTCCACAATTTTAACCCTTTTGGGGATGCCACAGCCAAACCAAGTGGTGCCAGGTGTGACACACTTTGGAGGCTCCTATTCTGAACAATTTCCAACGCTAAAATGATTTAAATCCCACAGAACTCACACAGCTTTCAGTGCTGGAGGAAGCCCAGCCAGGCTGGTGTCTCCTGAGCTGGTTTTTACTCCAAGCACCCAGGAATGGGGTCTGGGCTGTGTGGCAGTGGCAGTGAGCTATTGCTGTCTCAGCTCCACACCGTGGCCTTGCAGGCAGCCAACAATTACAAGTCTCTTATCCCAATAATTACAGGCATAAGAATATGTCTTGAACAACATTATATTCTGTTCTTCCACATAGCTCATGCTCTCACAGTGCAATGCACTAACCAGAATGAGTATTTCTTTTTTTAGGAGTGAAATCTAAGTCTTAACTGGCTGATGAATTATTTTTGCCACTGTGTGCCTGAAAGAGACTTGTATTGCTATTTTAGGTGGCAACCAACATGGACAAAGTAGGATCTTTAGTGAACTTTAAAGTGTTTTCTTAAATCAAGTTATTTTTCAATGTAAACAAAGCATTCCACAGCACTTTAAGGCTAAAGAATTAATTCCCATATAAAGCATAATGGTAACTTCCAAAGAAAAACAAAACCTGGAAATTATTACCACCATGAGCTCTGCTAAGAATATTCCAACTATCACAGGGAAGTCTACACTATACTCAGCACATATTAGTAAATCAGAAACTCTGGTAACACTCTCTGTTGGAAATGTTTTTCTTGCATATGAAAATTCTTGTGTCCCAGACTAATCAAGCATTAGCTACCACAACTAATTCTCTAGGAAGTTTTTTGTCTTTCTCAAAATTGGAATTTAAAACAATTAGTTGAGAGCTAAATGGTAACTGGAATGTCCAATATTTCCACACTTTTTAAGGCTTTACTTAACATGAACCTGCCCAGAAAACTCTCTCATCCAGAAACATGCCAAAAGCTGCCCAAATCTTGGAATTATATCCAAGAATTTCCTCTCTGCTAAATGAGAAATGAAATAAGAAATGTCAAACAATTCTGCAAGGATATCCAATGGCAAATGTTGCCAAAAAGCCACCTCACATCCATGAATTCTGTTGCCAAACTATTTTGAACACAAAATCAACATTTTATTGCTGAATAAAATCCTACTTGGCTGTTGTGTGTATCCAGAGCCAGTACACACATACAGAACATCTGATTCTCTCCAAGAATTGCATCTCTTCATTGCTGATGAGGCTCCTGACTCACCAGTTGGGACAGCAGGATCCATTGTTGGCTTTTCCCAGGTATTGATCTGCTCCCAGGTAAATCCATTGGTTCCCAAGGCGACGCTATAACCACAATTACTGTAGTGCTCATCAAACGAACAACCACCTAAAACCAAGAAAAATGAAAACATTTCTGGGTTAATTGTCTTTCTTTCTTTGTGGTAGGCCATTTACTTAGATATTTTGTACCCAAGCTTACACAGGAAACAAAAATAAATGGAACTCATTTCCTGAGCATTATTTTTCGTGCAGCTCCAAAGGTGATGTCCAGAAAAATCTTTGCATTTTCCATGTTTTATATCCATTGGAAGCCCCTATTTTCTTCCCTCCACACTACTGTTTCTAAGACCAGTCCCCTTTATTTAAACCTGTAATTTTCAAAGACAATTCTACAGGATACCCCCATGCAGGAATATTTACATGAACCTCCAACTAAGATATTTTTTAAAAATCAGGAAAAGGAAGGAGGAGTGCAAATGACAAACAAGCTCAGCATCACTGTTCTTACATCAGTGCCTCACTTCTTTTTGCTTTATGCCTTGATTATATTTAACCTGGCTTTAACCATCTCCTAAACTTAACAGCATGAATTTCTGTGTGGTCCACAAACACACAGAGCTTCCTCCAGTCTTTCAAGTCAATAATTTTGAGCGTGGCCCTGTAGTTTCTGAACAAGAGAATCAGAAGCAGCAGATGTCAACTGGCATTCACACCTTCCAGACTGTGACTGAAAGAACTTTACTGCAATTCCTGAAATACCTGGAAGAAGTTAACTCTCATAAATACACTGGCAGCTGCCTGAACACTTGTGAATCAAGGGAAATCCAGGAACTGTGGAATGAAATTTTGTATTCCAGTGCAGCTCTTTGAAACTTGGGTCACACAGAGAAACAGGGATAGTTTATTTATAGGTGTCCCTTATGATCTCATGCACTCTTCATCCCCACCCAACTCAGCCAAAGCATTTCACTACTGGATCCACTGGACTGGGGATCCTCAGCTTGGACTTCAGTCATGCCCAGGGTGTGTCTGTAAAGCTTTGGTTTCCTCTTAGGGAAGAGAGGATCATTTTTCTCTGCAGATTCCAGTCCTCCAAAGGAGCTGGGCACAGGGAACCTGCCAGGGCTGCAGAGTGCTCAGGGCAACCCTGCCCTGCTCTGCCAGCCCAGCACCAATGGCCCCTGGCACCACCCAGAGCTGCTGGGACAGAGATATTCCCAACTGCTCCCTCCTTCCACAGCTACTCACACAATGAACACCTGCTACATCACTTATTAGTGGCTAAGCTTATCTTCTTTTTCCTCTGCCTTCACTCAGAGTCAGGACTGAATGCACAAGAGATGGATTTTCATGTTTGGACTCAGTTGTTTATTAAATCTTATCTATAGTACAGTGAGTTCTACAGCACCTCTAGGTACCAGCTAAAAGTGAGAAAATGTCACTGGATCTCACCAGTTACAAAGTCTTTTAAAGCCTAACTATGTGATTAAAAGCTTACATCTACATTATTTATACTTTTGACCCAATGACCAAACACCTGTGACCCACACTGTGGGATTTTCTATCCAACCAAAAACTACAACCTAAAATCACGAAGGAGAAGGAACAAGAAGGAATAAGAGCCAACTCCCAAGAACCTCCATCTTGTCCCACACCTGTTACTATATTCTAAAACCTTCAAATTCCAAGCCCTTCACCATGTGAAATCACACACTTCTATCCAAACTACACACCCATGATTTTAACTCCATCACTCAAATTTGGAGCCTTCTCCAAGGTCTCAGGTCCAAAGCAGTGTTCTCCTGGGGGTCAGTGCCAGAAAGCACAGAAAGCTCAAAATTCCCAGGCTTCAGAGTTCCAACAATCACTGACCTGTGGTTCCCCTGCAATAAAGGCTCACCCAACACTGAAGACATGAAAGCCTTATTTAATTTTCACCCATATTCCCCATCCCCTTGGAAAGCCCAAACTTTGTCTCAGTTCCTGGGGAACTCCTCACAAATTACAAATATACTTCATGTCATTAATATTTCTCAATCCCATACTCTGTTAAATGATTCTCTGTGCACTCCAACTGCAACTGTTTTTTTTTTTTTTTAAGTGGTTCTACAAAACTTCATCAAACATTTCTAGTTAAATATGTTCTAGGAAGGTTTGTTGCCCTAAAAAATTGAAAATTTTATATATTACATATTTTCATTATAATTAGATCTGTTAATAGATTTTATGACCCTTGAACACTTGCCTGTTTCAGTAGCTTCCACAAATATTTCTGAGTTGTCATGATTTTATAATATTTAAATAATCCTTGCCTTTCATTTATTGCATTTGTGAAGCTTTCCCAGTTGTCAAAATAAGCAGGATTACACTTAAACTGCTTCCCTATTTTTTTTTTAATTAATTTAGGTGAAAAAGTTCAAAATTACAATATTGAACGGGCTCATTAAAAAAATCTAAGGGAAGATCCAGGCAGCTTGGACTGTGTAGGAGTGAGCAATGAAAATCACCTTTATCCCAGCAAGCAGAACAAGAGGTAAAAACCAAATCCTCTGCTCTCAGCCTCCACACAGGGCATTCTCATTTTGAGAGCTACCCTTTAATTCAGACACAACCCATCCCCACCCCCCTGCTCCCTGCACAGGTTTGGGGCTGTCTGGGAGCTGCTCCTTTGAAGGAACTGTAAACATCTGTTCTGCTCCTGCCCAGCTGTGCTGGGAGGTCTCCTGTACACAGAGAAAATTGCACAGGAGCTGCTTCAAAGTCCCAGAAGCAAAACAAGCAATAGGTAGCAAAATGTGGGGCAGCAATGCTCATTGAATTGGGAATGCAATTGTCAATAGCCTGGAATAATCAGCTAAACAGGTGATTTTATCCTCACTGAGGAAGGTGGAGGGTGAGCAGCTGAAAAAAGGGCACAGTGAAAACTTGTGGAAATTAATTGGGAGCATCTGCTGGTACAAGAAGCTTTAAAGTGCCTTGCCTGAAAGTCAAAGCTAACCTTGTAGTACAGCTGAATAGGAAAGGAAAGGAAAAACCATGGAGAGCCTTACAAGCAGCAGCAAGACACCTACATTTCAGAGAAAGAAAAGGTTAGTGGAGGAACCTCCAAATACAGAGTGACAGGGCAATAAGCCAGAAGGATTCATTTACTAGAGGCAGCAGAATTGGAATGTGGAGGTGAATTTGCAGGAAATGAAGACAAGGAGAAAAAGCTGGAGTCGATTTTAAGGGCTCAGACAAGCACTGTGTGAATCCTAGGTACCAAGAGGGGGGCAGTGCCCACCAGCTTCTTGCTCTGGTGTGTGGAATTAAAAATGAAATAAAGGCTCAGATGGGAGCCAGAGCCACGGTGACTTGTGAGCCAAGAAGTCAACAACTCCTCTCTTCACACTGCTGCAGTGTATATTGTATTATGGGACAGGAAAGAAACTTCAGAAAGTGACAGGAAAGCAGTACACTCTATCAGAACATCACAGATTTTGGGGTTACTCCAACAGTCACAGAATGGTTTGGGCTGGGAGGGGTCTGAAAAATCACCCAGGGACATTTCCACTGTCCCAGGCTGCTCCAAACCCCAATGTCCAACCTGGCCTTGGGCACTGCCAGGGATCCAGGGGCAGCCACAGCTGCTCTGGGCACCCTGTGCCAGGGTCTCAGCACCCTCACAATAAAAAAAATTCTTCCTTATATCCAATCTTTGGTAAAGCCACGTGGCCACAGTGGTTTGTGTTCATATCTACCAAGCAAGGACATCAGTAGTGGCCCTGCTTTCTGCAGAGGCTGGCAGATGTGACATTGCAGCCTCCCTTCCAGGCAGCCAGGTTCAGAAAGTTGAAGAGATTTTAGGAGTTCACTAAAGTAGGAATAGTAACAAGGAGAAGTGTTGTTTTCACTGATGTCAGTATTTCCAAAGACACCCCACCTATCCAGATTCTTAGATGAGCTACATCCAAATATGATGGAACATAAAGACAGGAAGAGGTTAGATCCATCCCCAAAGACAATCATCCATGGCTGAAATCTGACTGCCTAGAGGCAGATCAGGGCTATTCATTAACCTTGAAAAAATAATCCTCATGTTGGAGGGAAAGAAAGACTGGCCACTGGATGAATTTAGTTACCAGGTCTGCATGCTATCATCTCAGCCACATATCACAGAGCAGCTTGAGGAAAATGACAACATTTGCACAATCACCAAAACGGGGTGCTGCATAAATTGTTAGCAAGAATGAAGATTTTTGGAAAACAAATTGGGATGTTTGGAGCCTTTTTCCTGCTTGGCTAAAAATTAAACAAGCACAGTTGCTCAGTGGGGCCAACGATGGAATGGGGATGGCTTTGATGGTGTTGGATAACAGAGGTGGTGTTAAAGCCTTTTCACAAAATGAAATCTAAACAAGAAAGCTTCTCCCTTCCTGAAAAGGGTCATATTGAAGCAAATAATGGCTCACATAAGAAGGATAAAATATCCCTTGTTTTACACTGCGGGCTTGTAACAATGCCACTGCTCATCTGAGTGATGCTAATTAATCTTGAGCAGACCTATCATCAGTTACTGAGACTTGCCCCTGGATTAAATGTAAACCAGCCTTGCATAAATTGAATGGCTCCTTTGAATATATAATTGAATTTGCAAAAGTGTGCGCCAGGGGGGTGTTTAAATAAGTGCACAAATATGATAAAAAGAACTTCACGCCATAATATCTAATTCAGTAAGCAAAAATAATGGCAGGGCACATTCCAATTAGTGTTTGATTTATTTATTTTAACAAATCCAATTAGTTGAATGTTTTATAAAGTCATCCAATGTCAAACTCTCATAGACTCAACAGATAAAAAACACAATACTTCTAAAAGGGGATAAAGAAACACACTGATGTGAGCAGCTTCATCAGTTATCCCATGGTTCTAAACACACACAGGAAACAGAGCAGCAGATATAATTTGATCAGGCATTTACAGCAATCCCAAAGTGGGAAAGGGATAGACACAATGAGAACATCAGTGTCATTGATCCACTCCACCGTTCCTCCAAAAAGAAGTGATTATTTCTCTCATTTACTAAAAAAAAAAAAACAAAAAAAACCCAAACAACACAATAACCCC